AAAAAAAAAAAAAAAAATTCTATCTATTTTATATGCAAGTAAATATATCTGTGTAAATATAAAAAACCTATTACAATTTATTTACGAATTTAATATATAATAATATATAATGCTTTAATATATAATATTTTTATTAAATTGTATTTATTTTACAGCCAAATTTCTCTTAATGAACTGAAAGGGAAAACTTTTACTGTGCTATAAATTTCTTAATCCATATAAGTATCATCATATATTAATAGATTGATTGCAGCCCACGCCTAACGAACTTCTTGTACTACCCACGCACTCGCATATAGAGAGCAATCGCCTTCGCATAAGAAGCGCAAAGATATTTTTTTATATTGTGCCAAGTGGGCACTTGAAAGCGTTGATCTTTTATTTTATTTTACTTTATTTTTTTGATTTCGTTTTCTTTCTCTTGAGCTTTAGGAACAGACAAAAATAAAAAATTGCTTCGATTTTGGTGCAAAACTTTTTCATATACAAAACTTAATTTGAAGGTTTTTATTGAGGACCGGAAGGCGCCTGACTTCAGTTTGATTGTCCCACAGGCAGAACCATATACCTATACATATAAATCAATAATTGACGCTGATTGCGGAGTAGGAAAAAAAAGCATGGGGAAATGATCTTAAGTATTTTTGATTGTCTATTGAGCCGGGTTGAGGGAACTGAGAATAATTTTTTTTTTTTTTTTTGCCAAAAATTAATGAAGCATAACGAAAGCATATTCATATAATTTTTTAGCAAGGCAAACAAATTTGCATTTGGGAGGCGGACTTTATCAATAACAAAGGTCATTAATAAATCAATCAACAGCTATCGAAGGCGTTTATTCACCCTCGTTAGCGCTCGATCAACGGTCGATCTTATTACCACACGGTAGAGAGTACGAAGAAGTAGTCTAAGGAAATGCCTAGGAACATCAATTTGTTAATTTAATAGTATATCTATGTGGGAGATAATAGTACAGAATTACTAGATAGCGAAAATCCATATCAACCTAGATTTAACGTTTCCTGCACAGTTTCTCTTGCGATTTTGTCTGCCATTATCTTTTTTTCATGGAATTTTTCCATTTTTCCATGTTTCTTAGTATTTTGTATATTCATTATTTTCCCTTTATTTTCCCAGCTCCTTTAAACGCTTTGACGCTTTTTCTTCTTCCTATTTTCTTATTCGTCTTTCTTCCTTGATTTTTCCAATTGGGTACTATTACTTCCTTCCGCTTTCCTCGTTACTACTTCATCCTCTCTCTTTTCTTTTGTATCCTTGCTGTTTTCTACTTGTTCTTTCTTCCTCCTTCTTCTTTCTATTTTTCATTATGCTTCCTTCTCCTTCCCCCTTACAACTTACTTTTATCTTCCTTTCTCTTTACCCTTTTGCATCTTCTCTTTTCCTCCATCCCCTCTCCTTCTTCTACATCCCTTAACCTTCCATCCTTCCACCTCCTTTCAACTTCTTCATTCTTACTTTTCCTTTCTTATTTCCTCTTTCCACCATTTATCTCTCGCTCGTGCTTCTTTTGTTCTCCTCCGACAGATCTTGTTTGTCTTTCAGCCCCGATTCTTGGCCCTCGTCCACAATACCCTATAAAAATTAAAGTAATTCTCCAACAATTGATTTCACAAACGATTCACTTTACAGAGCTGCGTCTCTGAATGCAACTTCTAATCAGATCTCTCTCCCATTCTCTGGGTGCCATAGAAACCCGTGCACACAATGGGCAGCGCGCAAAGCGAATTGTGTTAAAAACCATAAAATTGTTATTAAAAGTCTTAACAGACACAACAAATGCCACGCCCCCACCTCCAATGGCTGCCCCACTGGGGCCGATGCTGCATTGACGCATTGGCGGCACTTTTAACAATGAAAAGCAAAAGTAAATCGAAATCAAAGTCAAAGCTGCAATGGAGAAATGTGCCCCAGCATCCACATCCACATGCACATGCACATCCACATCTACATCCACTTGGACAGCCTCTGCTAAACAATTGAAAATTGTTTTTGTTGTCGTTGTCTTCTTCTTCTTCTTGTTGTTTTTCAACAACAACTTCTCTCCTATTCATTGGCGGGCAACACGTGCCAGGTGTCTGGGTGGCTAGCTGTAAGCCGCTTGCCCGGCCAAAGGCGAGGGGGTAGTGGCGGGGCAGTTGCATAGTCAAGTGCCGGCGCTGAGCACAACCTGTCGCTGCCACAGGCGATGGCAGTGGCAGAGCCACCGTTAGCTCATATCACATAGAGGAGGGGGCGCACACGTTTGCCCTGCCCCACAAACACATAACTGACACACACACACACACACATATGCACACACACTTGTTCATGGAGATCTTAAACTTTCATTTATACAATTGTCTTCAAACTGTGCAGCGATCACTTTTTGTCTGCTCTAAGAGTGTGTGTTTGTGTGTGTGTGTGAGCTGCTGCTGCTGCTCCAAAATGAAAGTCGGAACAAAATGGATTTGCTTTTGGAATTTTTGTTAAAAAAAAATACACATTTGTGTAGTTGCTGCTGCTGCTGCTGTTCATTTGTTATGGGCCACAAGCGTCAAGCGTTTGCTTTATTGCAGTTTTCATATATGCTTCTGTGCCAAAGGAAAGGCCGCGCCGGACGCGACTTGACTTGGGCCCAATATCTCATTAAATCTAAATGGACTTTTCTGCTTCCCACCCTCTCTCAGCCTCTCCCTCTGTCTACCCTTTTTTGGCAGCGAAAAAACTTTCGCCGATGGAGCCAGCACTCGACTCCCTACAGCTCCTGCTGACCTTGCCTCGAAAGCGGGCACGCTCCCATTTTTGGCCAGCTCACGCTTTCGGCTGCGTAAAGCCCTTGTAAATTGTGCTGGGTCATTGGCCGGCTTGCCAAAAAAAAAGAAGAGTTAAGAGTCAAGAGCGGCGGCGGCTTGGAGGCATTATAAAAGAACTTTAACTTTAACTTTAAACTGGTTATTATAATTTTCGTTCGCTCGGTTTCGCAGAAACGACGCTGGCGAAAAGGCAACAGGCAGCAGGCAGCAGGCAAACTGGCAACAAGGCAAAGCCCATTAGTTGGCCTCATTCTTGGCCAGGAAATCTTTGTTGGGGCCAAGCTGCAAGCGGCTTCGTGACAAATATGAATATTTCGAGCTTATGAAAACGAGCGAGCCGAAAACTAAAAGAACTGTGTGGCATGCATCTGCGAAGATCGCCCTGTCCACCTGACCGACTCTGCCTCTCTCACACGCTCTCTCTCCCTCTCACTCTCTCTCTCTCTCTCTCTTGCTGCTTCGATCTGCTGCTCCTGCGCCTCGTGTAGCATGCAACGAACGCGGAAGTATTTAACGTGTTTGTTTGTCCATACGAATGCCTGCTGGCTCCAGCTGCAGCTTCTACAGCAAAGCGGCCAATGCTGCTACTGCTGCTGCTGCTGCTGCGGCTGCTGCTGCTGCTTCTTCTGCTACGTTTGGTGAAAAGTGTTTTGTATGCAAATCATTGAAATTACATATTATGGCCAGTTGGCAGTCGTAAGTAGCAGTTGGCCAGCAACTGCTCGCCTGACATGCACCAGAACGGACACAGCCCCAGCTCCAGCCACAGCCACAAAGCGAAGAACAACAAACGAGGCATTTGAATGCCTCGCTGCCTGCCTGCCTGCCTGCTTGCAACATTTTGCTGCAACAGCACATGAAGTCTTCATATGGCTCAGCCAAACACTGGGTGGGTCGACCCATCCAATGTTGCCGCCCGGTTGCAGAAGCAGTCG